GGGGGGGGGGGGGGGTGTTTGTTTGGGTAATTAAGCACAAAGTTACTCCATGGGGCTATCATATGGGTATGGAAACACGGTTTATAGCGTTGTAAGTCCATAGACTTGCCGCTGTGCCACTTGGGGGGCGAATTGGAACATCGGGAAACTTCTTGGCGATTCAACAAAACGATTTGTTGTTAAAGTACTACATATTTAAATCGGGTGCGAAATTTCCCGTTAATGGTTAATGAGCTGTGAATAGGTATTATCACTGTTTTAAAATTCTTTTTCTGTGGACTAGTTTTGAGTTCGTGCAATTTATGGTCACGTAGGTACATAACTGACAAAGACGGGTGATAAACGTTGGATCGTAAATGAAAAAAAAATACACAATCTATATTAAAGGATGTACAGTAAAATTACACAATCTATATTAAAGGATGTACAGTAAAATTACACAATCTATATTAAAGGATGTACAGTACTAAGAGCAGCAGCATGTTTTTTCAGGAACCCTTAAACCTCATTGGAGGGTTGGTATTGAAATAATTTACACTGGCCGTTTTTAACCTTTGGCCACAGTGTGCCTGTTTTGTCAGTAGCATCGTGTAATTTATTTTATTGAAAATTAAAAACAGTAAAATGGGACAGAAAAAAACATATACAATAAAACGTCGTTTTGCGAGGCATCTTCAGGTAATTTACGCAACTGAACACAACGTATTAAATACATCAAATGGTGACGTCAGTAATATAACCTTGACCTTACCATAAATATAAACCTACTACTTACATTTTATTTATTAGAGGTTCTTACTGTTTTTTTTTAAATAATTTTTTTATGTTTCGTTTATAATTCGTAAATAATTTTAATTTTATTTTCACTACAATATTCTGTATCTTTCAAATGTTGGTAGACATATGACGGAGCGTGTCCATGTTCTACTATTCTAGTATTTAAATTTCTACCAGTCTCCCCTATATAGATAATATTACAGTCTATACATGTTGGTAGACATATGACGGAGCGTGTCCATGTTCCGCTATTCTAGTATTTAAATTTCTACCAGTCTCCCCTATATAGATAATATTACAGTCCATACATGTTGGAAGACATATGACGGAGCACGTCCATGTTCTGCTATTCTAGTATTTAAATTTCCTCCTAATTTCCCCTATATAGCCTAATACAGTCGGTACATTCATTTATTTATTATTATTAATATTGAGTCAATCAAATAAATGAATATATTTTAAAAAGCTCCTTTTGTCCAAAACACAGATTACTGAGTTTGATTCACTTTACTTAGCCAATGGGTATGTCCTTTTTATATAACTCTTTAATCAAATGAAAGTGTCGCTGAGAGCCGAAAACAAGATAGAATTTTAATGAGGAAAGTAGTTCTACTTATCTCACACCATTTCTCTGAAATGACCATTAAAAGTGTTACAAGTTCTAGAACTTAGCGTGATATAACAATTGGATAAAGATAAACCTTTTGTCTTTGGTCGTTTTAAAGAAAAATAAACGGATAAATAGTCTAAGTTTGATGTTATCTGCTAATAATTATTGATAAATTTTTGTACAATTTTGACAAGAGTAACTTGTCAAGTGAAGTGAGGAATGGTGGGTAATGTTCTCTGATGAAATACATTTCAATTTTTAAACAACTTGTTAAACCTGAGTATTTTATT